TGGACGAAATGCGACTTCATCTCTGCGCGTGCCCACATCATGAACGCAGCTGCAATTTTTTCTTGGTCGCTGCGATTAAAACTACCTCATTTTTTGGTCAGTTTACTGATGATTTTAGCAAAATTTTTAAATTCTTCCGCAAATATGGTATTATATAGATATATATGATTTCAGCGATTACCAAAACAACATAAACCTTGGTACGCTTTTCATCGCCGCGTTTTTCACGCGCTTATTGCATCTTTGCAATGCAGAAAACGCATATTGACGAGGGGTTGTCTATGTGTGTGTCTGTGTGTGCATCTGTCTTGGTTTTTCATCTCAAGACCTACAAAAGCTGCGAGGCTGAAATTTTGGGAACTTAATCTAAATGCACAACGGGCCCCAATCCCCAAAATGGGCGCTCTTAGCTTAGTGGTACCCACGTAGAGGCCCTGAAATTTTATCGGATGAGTTGCTAACTCAGTAACCTCAGGAGCTAGAAGAATGTAATTTTAAGGAAATGTTCTCCGTCCACGCAGATGTTAATGTGCTCAAACCTACCCCCCGGGTGTGCATGACTCCTATGTACGGGCCTGAGAATTTCTTTGCGAGTAAGTTGCTAACTCGGGAGCCAAGAAAGTTAGAAAGCTGAAACTTTAAGGGGATGCTTCCTGATGGTCTTGGCGGCCCATTTTAATTTGTTTAGCTAAAAGCATTTGCCGGAAAAACCGGTGCCGGTAGTGACAAGAATTGCGGGGAACTATGTAAAAAACGCACCGTCGCGCCAGAGCCGGTGCGTTGGCCAATTATTTTTCTCCTGCTAATGCAACTGACAACTTTTCCATACTTTATTTGAGTCCCATAAGCATAATTCAGGCAAAATCTGGCTAAAAAAAGCTCACCTGCGACTTCACGATATCCGCAAGCAAATCTGGTTCCCGGCACTCACTCAGATAATGTGACAAATCAAATTCTTGATTCAGCTTCTCCAAATCACGCAATACACTGTCTGGTGGCCGACGTGGTACACCACTAAAAACTTCATGAAAAAACATAAATTGCTTTGGAGAACAAAAATTAATCATTAGTTTTACGCGATTCAAAGTGTCTTTTACATTTGCCAGCTACTCAATAGCAACAAAACTGTCATCAGATTCAAGCATTATTTATATACTTATATTTTATGACCTTAAATGGCAATAGAAAAATTGAAAAAACCAAAATGCTGCGCGATAAAAAATGATTACAATAACTCCTGTAAGTACAATAAAAACCCGCAACCACTCCACTATGCATTTACCAGAATTTTTAGCCAAGCATATGCATTGTGTTTTTTACATCTGTATCGCTTGAAAATTTCATCGTGTGCTAAAAAGAAGGAAAGCAGAAGAAATTGCGAAATTTGAGAGCTACCAAGGCCTATACGTTCACTTCCAAGCACTGTTCTGAGTATTTCTGCACCCAAAGCATGCCATTTTTGGCGATTCCAATACAACAGTTTCTAAGGCTCTCTTACAGATGGTCACAACGATGCAGAAGCTTAAGGAGGCGTGTAAGTGATAAAGTGACAACGCACCAACTCAAATAAATGGCAACGCGCACCAGACTAGCCGGTGCGATCATGCGTTTTGTGCAATTCAGCCCA